TATGTTTGTCCAACTAGAAGTTGTGGTGTTTGGGAATGGTGCAATCTAATAAGTTGCATTACAGATGCTGTGGTGGACTCTGCTACAACATGTAACCAAGAAGATGTACTTGCTGAGATTATGATACATGTTGCTGAGATAAGTTCTGAGATTGGTAAGCTAAGGTCTGAAATTTGTGATATAAGGTCTGAGATTGGTGAGACAATGTGTGAAATTGGTGAGATAAGGTCTCAATTTGCAATGTTTGAAAAACCCCTTGGATTCATGAAGCTGCTTATCAATGCAAGTTTATTTCTTGCAATTTTCTCAGTTGTATTATTTTTCTCAGTTGTATATTGAAGGTGGTATGCCTTCAGTAATTATCTTTTGTAATTAATGATTTTCAGTTCTTAATGGAGTTCTTAATGAATGATGGTAATAGCATGGCCTTCACTACTATATGACTTATATTGACAAACTGCATTAACAGACTCTGCATTGACAAACTGCATTGACAAATAATTTAGACCTATATGACAAACAATTCATAAATATGAACAACCTATACAAACAATCAATTGTCCACAAAACATACCATACAAACAAAGTTAGGCAAAAAACATACCATATCATTTAGCAATAAAATTCAGAGTATTACATTGAGTTGTCCAAAAGCTATACCAAAAGTCAGTTATCCAAAAGTATACCAAAAGTTAGTCGTTCAAGAGCTATACCAAGAGCTATACCAAAAGTTAATTCTAACTCCATAAAGTCCACCATATACCCTGTCTATTCTTTTTGGACAATTGAGTTACCCATAAAGTACTTAAACAACAAAAGTTTCATAAATTGTCTACAAAAATATATTTATATAAATTATATTGATGGACCTTGGTTGCTATTGGGGGATTAGAATGTTGTCAGGAACAATAATGAAAAGAAGGGAGGTAGAAGACATCCACTTAGAGTTTTTGCTGATTTTAATAATACAATTGATAAATTGTATTTGGCTGATATGCCCACAGCTAATGGTGTTTATACCTGGTGCAACAAGAGATACATCAATAGAAGGATTTATGCTAAATTAGACATAAGTTTAATGAATGAAGATTGGGGTTTAATGAATGAAGATTGGGCTCTTACTTATCCAGATTCACATGTATTATTAACTCCTCATTTGACCTCAGATCATTGGGGATTATGTGTTAAAGTGCCTGTGAACATTGCCTCAGGTCTTAAGCCTTTTAGGTTTTTGTTGATTTGGAATAAGCAACCTGCTGTCAAGGACTTGGTAGCTGCTTCTTGGGGTAAACATTTTAAGGGTGAGCCAATTGCTAAGTTAATGGTCAAGTTAAAGTTTTGTAAACAAGCTGTGAAACAGTGGAACACAGAGAAATTTGGATTAGTTTATGCTGAAGTGATATCATGCAGGAAGAAGTTAGCTGAGATTCAAGGTGTTTTGGTTGATGACCCAATGAATGAGGATGTTATACACAAAGACGAGGAATGTAGATTAAATTTGGAAATGGCAGTTTTAAATGCTCAGAAATCAAGGATTAGATGGGTGAAAGATTAAGATAGATGTACTAAGTTCTTTTTTTAGAAAATTAAGCAGCATAGGGCTAATAGTAATATGACAGCATTGCAAGAGGAAGGGACTACTATTACTGATCCTAATGTTATTAGTTAGAGGTTTGTTGATTATTTTCAAAGAGCTTATGCAGGGGGGTGTATAGAGTTACAGGTTCCAGAGCAGATATATATTAGAAAGACTATTAATCTTGAGGAGAGTACCTTGTTGCAAGCTACAGTTATAAAAGAGGAGGTGAAAAACACTGTTTTTGAATGGGAGCTGATAGAGAACCAAGTCCAGATGGATTTTCTTCTAGGTTTTTTCAGCAATATTAGAGTATTGTGGGTGTTGATTTTACAGAGGCTGTTATGTAGCTTTTTCAAAATCTAGTTTTGGGGAAGGGAGTTAATAGTACATTTATCACTTTGATTAAGAAGAAGAAGGATGCTGTTAGGGTTGAGGACTACAGGCCTATATCTCTTTGCAATGTTTTTTATAAAGTGGTAGATAAGATCCTTGCTAATAGACTTGCTACGGTTTTGGGCAAAATTGTAGGAAATGAACAAACAGTTTTCATCCAAGGTCGAAGGATCCAAGACAATATTATTATTGCTAATGAGTTGGTGAGAGGGTTTGGGGCTAAGAGGGCTAAAGCTACTCTAGCTTGGAAAATTGATTTGAGGAAAGCCTATGATACAGTGCAGTGGCCGTTTTTATTTAAGTTGTTGAAATTGTTTGGCTTTGGTGCTCAATGGATTAAATGGATTAAAGAGTGTGTATCATCTGTGTAGTTTTTTATTCTTGTTAATGGATCTGCTCAAGGATACTTTCAACCTGAAAGGGGGTTAAGGCAGGGATGCCCCTTGTCTCTACTGCTATTTACTCTTGTTACTGAATATTTCTCTGGTATGATGGAGTGGGAAACAAAGAAAGGTAAAATGATTCCATCTCAAGCTACAGTTAAAGATGGAATTCCAATTACTCATCAGTTCTTTGCTGATGATCTTTTAATTGTGGTGCGAGCTAATATGACCAGTGTTTTAACACTGAAAAAACTTCTATTTCAATTTGAAAAAACCTCTGGCCTTGCTGTTAGTGAGGAGAAATCTGAAGTGTATTTAACAAGAACAGTGAAGAGAAGGAAATCTATTCTTCAAACTTTTGGCTGTAAGGAGGGGAAGTTGCCTTTTACTTACCTTGGTTTACCTATTTCTGACAAAATGCTTAAAAGAAATGGTTGTTTAAATCTGGTTGATAAGGTCATTGCTGTTATATCTAGATGGAATGGGTTACATATTTCAATGGCAGGTAGAGTTGAGTTGAGTAGGGCTGTCATCATTCCTATGGTGCAATACTGGACTTCAGTTTTCTCTCTTCCTGCTGCAGTCTCAAGTGTTATTGAGAGAAGAATGAGGAATTTTATTTGGGACATGTAGAAAATAGAAAGAAAATTCATAGTATTTCGTAGAAGAAGATTACTATACCTAAGGAGGAAGGTGGTTTGGGGTTGAGAAGGATTGAGGACATTGACATTGCTATAAAGGTATGTTTGGCGTGGGATTTCCTTTTATCTAAGGATAGAATATAGGTTGCTTGGTTCAGAAATTGTTACTTGAAGAAGGCCTCATACTGGACTGTGGTTGTTAAAGGCACTTCATCAGTAGTCTGGAGGAGTCTTGTTTCTGTCAGAGATATTATTAAGGTTAATTGTAGATTTAAGATTGGCAATGGAGAGAATACTAAAGTTTTCATGGATCCATGGTGTGATGGGCAGTATTTGAGTGATATTTATAATTATAGGATGTTGGGGGCTTTGAGTAGAGACAAGTGTATCTGTATGAGTAGCTTCATTACTAATGGGTAATGGGATGAAGATAAACTGAGCACTACTACTCAGGACATGCTACAGCTTTTTAAAAATCAGGTTATTGCCGGAAGGGAAGATAAGTTACAATGGAAAACAACTTTTGGATTCAAAGAAGCTTGGGAAGCAGGTAGAAACATCAAGAGGTGGTATGGGTTGATTTGTGCTGGAATAGTGGTCGTCCTAGATGGTCAGTTCATGCAGTTTTGGTTATGCATAAGGCACTTATTTCACAGGTGTTCTTACAAAAGAGGGGATTTACATTGGCTTTACGGTGCTATCTATGTTACAAAGAGGTGGAATCAGTGGATCATTTAGTCTATTGTTGTGAGTTTACATGGAAGGTCTGGAGCTTCTTATCTCAGGTGTGTTCATGGAATTTGCAAAATGTTAATGTGGTGCAAGAATTGGTGGATCAGTTTAATTAAGATTTCCAAAGGAAAGATGTCAGGAAGATGCCCAGAGTTTGTTTCATAACTACTTTATATTTTCTTTGGTGGGAAAGGAATAATAGATTACATGATAAATTTAATAGAGAGGCTGAAGACCTAGCTAAATGTATTTTTTGGGAAGTGCTTGATGTGTTGGGGGTTAACCTTCAAGACGTCTTCTAATTTCCTTGCTTGCTAGTTTGTGTGGTTTGGTTCTTATTTAAGACTTTTTGCGTTGTTTTAGTGAGGGTATGCCCTTACTTGAATCTTTGTACTATATTATTGATTTTAATATACTCCTTCATTTAGGAAAAAAAAAAAAAAACTATATTATGGCTGCATCTTCAACTGCCTTCTTCTCCATCTTCAAGTGTCCCTTCCAGATTGGTTACTTCTTCCAGTTCCTCTTTGAACTTGAAATTTGACTACATTGGAGCTTCTTGCTTGATTTGAGGTTGCACACCCTCTTCCAACTTGGTTGGTGCTTGCAGTGGCTTTTCTACCTGCATTCCTCATTGTCTGTGATTAAAAGGAAACCAATGTTAGTTTGTCAGCTAAGAAAGACATTAGATATACATGTTAAGTTATAATTTTTGTAGAGAAGTTGTTAAGTTATACTTGTTGTGGAAAAGTTGAGCTTTAACTGTAACGACCCGGATTTCTCAACCCGGTGCGTTAGTGATGAACCGGAAGTTGACCCGATAATGGACCCGAAATGCGGAAGCGAAAGAAGCCAAATGACCTCAAGAGATGTACGTCATCCCTAAGGCCCCAAAATGACTCTCCATGAAGCCACGGAACTCAAATGAGCCAAGCAAATGAAGCAAGAATGCCTAACCCGAAAAGAGATAAACTAAGGGCAAAACGGTCATTTCTCACTGAAAAGGGTGCCACCGTGCACACCATTGGAAGGATAATGAAAATGAACAAAATTAGACTCAAGAATCGTCTGATTTTGAGTCCGAGCAGAAAAGATATGAAATTCCAACACCCGATGCGAAAGTTATGAAGCAATGACTTAACATTTTCCAATATTTTCATAATAAACTTTGAAAACAAAAGTGCATAGAAAATGAGATACATGTCATTAGCCTCCAGCCTCATCTCATACATGTTAAATACATTGAAAAGAATGCACTTACGTATACTTTACATATACGAATCAACGAATACAAGTTTAAACAAATAGGGTTACAAAGAGGCATCTTATGCTAACACTTGCATAAAATAGAAACTTAGAAACTGTAAGCCATCCAAGGAGCAATGGAATCTTCAAATCCTGAGTCCTGTACCTGAAATATGCCCCAGTATCGTAGGGGTGAGTAACATAAAGCTACTCGTAGGAGATGAGCATGCATCGACCTAGCATTTTACAATTTTATTACCTTATGGTGAAATATGTTAAAGGGGCTCATGCCACCTAACGTCTATGTCAAGATGAGACCCAGGGAGCATCCTAAGCTACCTAAATCATTTATATCATAATCACATTATTCATGCAATTCAAACAACATGGAAACATGTTATACAAGGCAACAAGATATAGATTCTCAATGTCTTTAACTTGAAATCCAAAATACGAAAACAACAAGTGTGGGTCATGCCACCTAACGTCTATGTTCAAAATGAATCTATAAGGTCATTCCTAAACTACATTTGAACATCAAAACACAAATTATGATATCGATGCAATTTGACCAACAATGGAACTTCCAATATAACGCATGAAGCATGCTTTCACAAAGCTATATCTTAAGCTCAAAATAGGAAATCAAATAATGAACAACAAGTTACGATATCATCTAGTTATCAACTTGAAATGAAATACAAAATCAAACAAAGTAGATACTCGGACGTCACGTTGGATCAGACCGACAACATAGTTACTTTAGGGTTACTAGCCCATGGGTAACCTCCCTATGTGCGCACTAGACTATATAGAGGGACAATCCCCCGTACTAGAACCAAGTCCTAGCCGTAGCCAAACAACGACATCCCCAAGTTTCCAAAATCAACAAATTGTGCAACAACATATATATATCAACATGTATATACAAGATATCAACTATTTACCAAGCACAATCCAAATTTTGAAAACTTATAAAATACATGCTCAAAATTCACAACTACTATGGCATGTAAGATGTCAAATACAAAGTGTGCAATTCTTTACACATAGCAACAATATATTCAATAAGGAAAAACATATTCTTATGAATATAAAAGTAACAACTATGTTATCCAATGCTCAAAAGTAATCAAGTGAACATACATCAGATCCAGATCCAAATCCATGATTTAAATATAGAAACAACTTCCAAAATACAATTAAATCCATGGAGTAATAAAGTAGAATTTAATTAAACATAAATAGTTAAATTCTCTAAATTCCAAGTTAATCCAAATAACCTCAATTTAATATATATTGAAAGACATGTCATGGTTATCATATATATAACATCAAATGACAAGTTAAGTGATTAAAACACTTAAAACAAAATTAATAAAGCTAATTAATTAATTTCCTCTAGATTTTTAAACAATTCCAAATGCCCTCAATTTAATCTATGTTAGAGAATATGTCAAGGCCTATTTAAATACCACATTACAACTTGATTTAATGCTTGATACAATCATGTGAATTAAACTTTCAGTAAAGATAAATATTAAATAAAAGTTGTAATTCTTAATCAAATGATCCAAATTTAATATATGTTAATCAACAAATCTAAACATAATTTCCTAGCATGTTACAATTCAAATCAAAGTTAAACATCATCATAAATTTTAAATCTTATACAAAGAAATAAAAATTACTAACTTTCTAGATTTGATACAAGGCATACATATATGTTGTATAATCATGGCAAACACACAATACAATATACAAATAATCCTAAAACATTCCCTACCTCAATTGGAATGAAAATCCCAATTACCACCGAAATGAAATCGCCCCAAATTTTCGGTCTGCAAAACAGATTTTTCAGCTTGCTACCTTCAACTTGTAAAATTCATAAAAAATTCAATTCTAACCCAAATTGAATGAATCCAAAGCCCAATAAAAGCTTAAACACTGTAATTTGATAATATCAATTTAGTTTAACAAAATATTTTCCCAATTGAAACAGTTTTGCCCCACAACTTTGAAACAAATTCTGCCCAGAAAACACATTTTCAGCCTGTAGCTTCCAACTTTGAAAATTCATGAAAAATTCATTTGACATCCAAATTGGGCAAACCTAATTTATTTTGGAAGTAAACATATGAGAGTATAAAAATGAAAATTTAAGCCATGATCCAATATCAAAAGGTTAGTGAAATAAATCATCTAAAAATATGTTTTTCAGCAGCAATAAAAACATGGACAGCAGGTTGTTTCGGATTTTTAAAAAAATTTAGAAATTCTGAGTAGTGTAAAACTTATGAGGGAAGTTCCAGTAAAAATTTCAAGGCAATTGAAGTATCACAACTCCATATAAAAATTCTTTTCTGGACCGAAAAGGAAAAGCTTCAAATTTCCAGCAACTAGCTTGCAACTTCAAAAATTCATAACTAATTCATTTTAAATCCAAATTACATGAAACCAAAACTAAATGAAGCTAATTGAGTATATTTTCATATTCTATATTTATTTTGACACGATTAATTTCAAGTTAAAACAGTTGAAGGGAAAAATGCAAGTCCTTCTCTTCCATGCATGTAAAACACTCAATAATGACATAAAAATACTTCAAAATAATAGATCAATACCTCACTAGAGAATTGAATCTCTAGATACCAAAGCAAAACTAGGAGTTAGGCTAGATCCTTCAAGGGTTTTGAAGAGGAGGATGAGGGGAACAAAAAATATTCCAAGCTTTATGGTCTAAAGTAAGTGGAAGGGCCTCAAAGATCAAGGTCAATGCCTAAGGCTTCAAGCTCCATCCATGGAGGCTAGGGTTTTCTTATAAGGAAGAGAATGAAATAATGTGGTTAAGTGTGAGTGGAGGAAATAGAAATCCTCTACTCACTATATGCATTTACACTATGTTCAACACACACATCTATGGTCAATTGCACAAAAACTCTCCTTTAAAACCATAATCCCAAAGTGGCCCAAAGATATTTGCAAGACTAAATTGTGAACCTACACTTGTCACCAATCCATGGCTCCTTCCAAGGCTTAATCACACACCTACACTTGTCAACCATCCAAGCCAACAAGTGTACCAATCCTAGGCCAACAAGTGGGTGAATCCTCACCCTCCAAATGTCATCATCCAATGCATTAAAGTGTTTCCACATAAATGTCAACAAGTGGACCAATGAGAGTGTAACACTTGTCACACTTTTCAAAAATTACAAAAAGGTCCTTTTTGAAAATATCTTCCAAATTAATTTACAAAATAGTCCTTAAGACGAAAAATAATTACTTTACTTAACTACCCAAAAACCCTTCAAGTTATGGATAATTGCAAAAAGTCTTGTTTTCATGACTTTTACAAAGAAAGTAAACATTTAATATGCATTTCTACAAAAGTAAAAATATAGATGTCATGGAATTTAAATATCATGAACGTATGCAAAACCAGAATCAAATCCAAACACAAAAAATGAGGTTATGCAAGTAAAAGTGAAAAATGAGAAGAGGACGAAATAAGGAAAAGACGAAAAATGAATAGTGTCAAAAAACAAAAAAATGTGGAAATGACTCGGTCATCAAAGGAAGTTGTCAATCTAAAGGAAAGAGTCTCAGAAACCATTTCCGAGCACTCGAGATGACACTAAGAGGTGGGAAATCAAACCCGAAAAGGAAAAGATAATAATAAAAAAAATTTATCCGCAAAATTTGAAGAAAAAGGGAAAAGGAAGAAAATGACTGGGTCATTACATTAACACCCAAATTGAGTAGTTGATGTAGGCTTCATCATCTGTGATTACAATTAAAATAAACTTAGTCTATTTAAGAAAAATAGAAATAAAGTTAAACCTCTTCTTTAAAAAAAAAAAAAAAAGTTATTCCTCTTCTGTTAAACTGGTAAAACTTGAAGTTCCATTTCCAACTTAACTGGTTGTTGCTGTAGTTATATGTCCCTATAAGTTCTTATATAGTGTCAAATAATGTCACAAGTTAAAGAGCATTAACTCATGACTTAATATTAAAAAATTTAAAAGTGATTTACATGGTTGGGTTGACTAACTTTGCATGTTCTCCTGTTGTGCCCAAATTCTTCACACTATGTGCATTGTAGGGATTTGTTTTTTCTAGCATCACTAGTTGTAGCTGTAGGCTCATATGCATCTCTTGTCTTTATTTTTTTGGGTCTGCCAAGCTTTTTCCTTGGAATTGGAGGTTCCACAAGGTTACAATGCACAGGAGTCCACATTCTCTGATCAGGTACTGGGTGAATCATACTAGAATGAGTTCTCATGTGTGTTTCATTATAGAAACATGGATCATAGAACTGTTCAATATTTTTTGTTTTATGTGTTATGGCTGCAGTTGCATGTTTGTATGGGAAGCCAGAAATCTGCCATCCTCTACAATCACATTACCTTGATCTAAGCTTCACCATATGCTTTCCTTCCTCATTTATGACTTCATACTCATCTTGCCTTGCTGGGGTAACATTACATGATCTAGACTCATCAATCAACTTGTTTAATTTTTTCCTCATGTTTAGGGTCACCAACCCTACCCAAGCACTACCCTTTTTAGCCCTTATTACGAGTCTGCTCATCAATTTGCTCCTAATACCATTAAGCAGCCCAAAAATATGTTTAGACCTAAGCTTCCCAACCTAATTATTGAATGACTCACTAAAATTAATTATGACATGGTTACTCTTCACCTGCTCAGAAAATGCATACCTTGACCACTTGCACACATCTATTCTTAAGACCCAATTACAAGCCTCTCTTGACACCTCCCTCATTTGCCTCATTGCCTCATTAAATGTGTAATCATTATAGGCTCTAGCTGCCTTCCAGAAAAAAGACTGCAAAAGCAATCCTGGATACTTCTTTTTGAAATTGTTATATAGATGTCTGCAACATAACCTATGGGTTGCATGTGGGAAAACAATCATCATTGCTTGTTTAAGACCTTAAGCACAAGTAAAAAGCAAAAATTAGATATAGAAATTTCATGTAATTTATTAGATATAGAAATTATATGTAATAAATTAAGTTTTTACTTTTTGCTGATCTGACATGAAGCATAGATGTCTATCTTGACCAAGTTCAACAAAACTTTGCAACTCTTGAAGGAAGAATTTCCAACTTTCTTTCCCTTCATTCTCCACCACAGCCACAACCAATGAAAAAAGGCCATTATTCCCATCATGGGCTATAGTAGACAAGAGAACACCACCATAAGGGGTCTTTAGGTGACAACCATCTAATCCAATACACCCCCTGCAACCATTCTTGAATCCAGATTGCATAGCTTTTAAAGACATAAAAATTCTTTTAAATGTCATAGTAGGCAAGTCCCTTTCAAGCTTCATGATACTACTATGATTAGATTTGAAAATTTCATTAGCATACTTAGGAAGCAAAGTGTATACTTCCCCATGGTTTCCCTCTAACTCATCCATAATGATAAGCGTCGAATATTGCATATTTAAGCGCCCTTATTTGCAGTAGTTAAGTTCATTAGCTGTCTATACTAAATATATTAGCCTTAATTGCATTTTTTTTTGTCTATTTTCAGGTTAGTTCCCCTAAGAGAGGTAAAAGTAACGCTTTGATAAGTTTTTGAAGATCAAAGCACGCCGTTGCCGGGAACCGTCATTTTGGTCAAGTCAAGTAATCCACAGAACTCATGATGTTTAATGCACAAAGTCCAAGGAAGAAGAGTAGTGTCAACAGTCCATGCAAAAGGAGGTTCAAGAGCATATATATTCAGAGCAGATCCAAGAAGGTGCGGGCGCCCACTAAAGTCTCTAGTAGCATTTCATAGCGTGAGGCCCCGTCGTGTCTCGCGGGCCCCCGCCATCAAGCACCGCAGGCGCTCGCCAAGCCCTCACGGGCGCCCGCCAAATATGCCAGTGCACTCGAGAAGGCGCGAGCGGCCGCCCTACGCCTGCGGGCGCCTGCCACATTGTAGATAGCTCTACATTGTTTTTTCCAATGCTGTCCCCTTGACCCTTTTGTGTGGTCCTGATTTCTCCTAGGGTTGGTGAGCTACAAAAGTGGAGGGAAAATGAGATTTTTTTTTGGCTAGATAAGGGCTTGGAGGCTATGGTTTTTGGGATCTCACATTTTAGCAAGCTTCTAAAGAGAGAAATGTTGTAAAGTGAGGGGTTTATGTGTTCTTGAGCTCAAAGGGTGAAAATGGTGGGGATAATGATCATCTCTCCTTCATCTATTGTTCTTATGGGTAACTAACTCCCTATCTAGGGAGGTGATGAAGCCCTCTCTAGTAAGCATATTCTAGTCTTGGTTTATTTTGGGAAAAATGATGTATATATGCAATTGCTCCATAATCTAGAGCTTACACTTGATGTAATGAACTGAATTTGATATAAATGATCATGTTGAATCTATTATCTTGTCTTAGAATGTATGTTCTCATGGTTGTATTGCTTGATTTTTCATAGTGACAATGAAAATGAGATTATGGAATGGTTTTAATGGCATGTTGTATGAGAACCTTGTTAGTCCATGACTTAGGATTTCCCTTTGGTGGATTAATCTTGATTTTTAACTTCATGTGCTCCTATCATTTAATTGAAGGCTAGATAATCTCTAGCTTAGTGAGCATGTCTAAGGCTACATCCTAGTTTAGGTAGTTAAAGCATGTAAAACTTTGATATGTTATTCTTGCTTATCGATTTCATGAACTTCTTGAAGGTAATGTAGCAATTTTGTGTTGTTGCATTCCATGATTACATATATATATATTGTTTCCCCAAGTTAATATCAACTAGCATGTTAATAGGGTAGGTAGTGGATTCACTTTCTGTGATACCCCTTGATTCTAGAGCCACGGGTGATCAAGTCCGAGCACAGATCCGAGGGACACCAGACAATTAATATGTAAACAAGCAGAAATAAAAATTGAATTAAGAATAAATTAATAATACGCTGAAAGAAAACTAAAATAAAAATCCTCACACTTTAAATAATAAATTTAATATCATTTAAATCCTTTAAATCCGTACAATTCGGGAATCCATCTAGTGGACCCTTAATAATTCCAACCGGTAAAATATTTACAAAATTAAAATCCAAAACTAAAATAAGTAAGAAAATCCTATGTAGTCGAAAGAGTGAGTGTCTGTATCTGTATCAACACGATCAAACTCTAAGCCTGATACTTATGAACACCTGAAAAATAAGAGTGGGTCAGGTCCACATGCAAGTTCTATTCTACCACAATCCATACATAAACCCGATATGCAGATACATCCTAGATAGCTCAACAATATCTAAAATAGTCTATATATATATACACACTATAGGATGCTCACTAGCCTATAACATAGTTCAGCCTGGGTAGAAGGTGACATAAAAACACGCTTTCCAGCGGCCAAGTACCTAAACCTACCAGGAAACATTAGCTATATCTAGCTACCCAACCTTCGCGATATACACACCCTAACCATGATCAGGAGACTCAAGCTCGTATCACGGTAACATAAGTATATATATAAATTCCTTCCTAGTGCAGAAAGATAAAACAAATATCCATTATGTCGTTCAACTGTTTTAGTTGATAGGACATGCATTCATGTAGGATTTAACTGTTTTAGTTAATCCATTCCTTATGTATGAAGGGGTAGGACTTAGTTTTTTGATCTAATCCATCCTTGATATGTCACCGTCCCATACCAGTACATATAATGCAAATGATCCTTGAATGATGCAACATTTTAAGCAGTTCATCAAATCATATTCACGTAATCCAAATAGTTGATATACAGAATTTAAACAGTTCATCAACTAGCAATCCAGAATCCATCCACGTAACTAACGAGGC